ACAATAGTCTTTCTTATAATCAACACTCCTGCAAAATGATACTAGTCACACCATCATGATGCTAATAAACTTCATGCCAAAAAGGTCAGATTTAGTCACACAATCACAACCCATTTTTATTTATTGTAACTTAAACTCGCATACAAAATTCCGTGTAATGTTTGATAACAAACAGCACAACTCTAATATGGAATAGTGACAAAAAAAAAAAAAAAAAAACAGAAGAAGAAAAAAAAAGGGCTCCTGCTCAATATATGGAAGAGTGAAATGTCACTTGTACTTGAATTTAATACAATTTCAGTTCACATCATCTTCCAAAAAAAATATATATTTTATAACTTTCTATAGTCAGGTCAATCATGATTCAAACTTTGAACCTTTTTTTATATTTAGACTCTGTTTGTTTGGACGTAAAATATTTTTTTTATTTTTTGGTATTTGGTTATCGTAATATATTTACGAAGAAAAAAAAAATATTAAAATTTAATAAAAATAATTTATCCATTAATTTTCGGCAAGTTATTTTACATACTGTGCCCGATGAACTCGACCTCAACCTCGACGTAAGCCTTTACCAAACGCTTATAAAATAAAAATAAAAGAATATTTTACCTAAAAGAATCGAAACAAACGGAGCCCAAAGAAGTTGATAGAGATAGTGAATTTATTAACAAACTTTAAAGAGAATATGGGAATACAAAGTTGAAAATGCAATCAATAAATTTTTAAATGTTTTTGAGTCCAACGTTGGTAATTCTATAGTAATTCAGCCTTAGGTCCTTGCACCAGTCCCGTAGGTTATTAGGATTATTTCAAAACGTATTTTATGAATAATTATTCATTTTTATTGATTTTATATTCAAGAGTGCATTTCTAATTTATAAAACCATCGACTACCTACAATAGATATAATGTACTATGCTAAAAATTTTAAAAGAAAATATGGTTTCATACTTTTGTAAATGGGGAATAAAGTCTAGAAAATATATATTTTTTCATGTAAATATCTAGAACACCGGGCTTAGCTCAAATATATATATATATATAAAGGTAGTTTAGCTGAATATTAGGACAAAATAATGTAATGAGGCATGTTTTAATTTTTTTTCCCCTACTTATGGTTTCAATTGAAAGATTTTGTTAATCAATAAGTTCTATCCCCTCTCAAATCCATTGACCAAAAAGTGTAGTTGCGGGTTTAAAATTTTGTTGAGTAAAATTGAATATCATAACTATATTTCACATGCAATATGCATATAACATTATTTTTTTATTATTATTATTATAAAAGAAATTGTTTACTCCGATTTTTCAAAAAATATAATAATAACAATAATAAAAAAATAAATGTTTTCTCAGATTCAAAAACGTACAAATTGCGTCAAAAGTTGTTTGTCACTCACACATGTACAATATTTTTTTCTGCTACTACATATGTTTACCATCCGTCAACAGCTACCGCCTAAAAATATATAAGCACACAAAACCAACAAACAGTTACCACCAAATAAATCTCAATTTATAACATTTACAGAGTATTATTCAAAATTAACAATATATATATATTTATTGGTAACATGATAAATGTGTAGTAAAAAAATATACCATTATCATTTCATCACTTCAGAGGAATAAATTAAAATCAATTAAACAGCAATCAATATAAATTAAAACGAAATATTAAAAAATAACCTTTTTAAATATAAAACATTAACATATTTAATTTTCTCCAACATCTCAAATTTTTCAATAGTATCTCAGCAGCCATTAAATCTCGTCCTATATTCTACTAATATTGAAATAGTATTATAATCAACCGTCCTGCAAAATAAATCACATCTTATTACCCAATTAATCCCCATATTTGCGCCAATATGCTTAATTGCTCTTTTTTTTTCTTTTTTTTTTTTAATCTTTTCTTGCATTTTTTTTGTTTTTAAGATTTTAGAGATATGGTTTTTCTTTTTCTAAGTTTTTCCTACTCTTACTCTCTTAGAACTTCTCCTTGTTTAATTACTTTACTTGTTTGTGTATTTATAAACATATTAATTAGTGCATTTAGATTCATAATATAACAAGAAACCGATAAAAAAAGGTATTTTTTGTATATAAAAAATTAATTTTATAAAAAAAAAAAAATTTGTTGTATCCTGCTATACCTTTATCTTATTTTTTTTTTGAGATTTGTAGTATATATATTCGTACAGTATCGTTTTCATGTCTGTGCTTCTTAATATATATATATACTGCATTTTGTATCTCATTTAGACTTGCATTGGAATGTCAAAGGTTGTTGAAAAGATTTTAATATTTTATATAACTGCCAAATATTCCTGAAAAGTCAGAAATAAGACTCGTGCAAAAAGCATGATCAGGTTTTGTAAAAGTGCAGAGGATGCACATATAACTACAGTGTGAGTACACAAGGACTCGTCCCCACAAGCAACGTTGTAAACAAGTCGATCCAATTTTTACTTGTTTGTGCTCAAATTGGACAGTCAAATTTTAAGTTAACTTGAGTTCAAACAGAGCTTCAAATTCAAATCAAAGCATTACTGAGGAAGCTAAAGCATTACTCAGGAAGCTAGGCAGACTTGTTTGGTTCAATTATTGGATTCTAAGTTTAATTTCACTCATTTTTAAGTTCGCGTTCAAACTTGAGTTAAAAAATAAGATGTAAAATTAATTATATATCCAAATAATCCGTGAGTTGAGTTACAAATTGTTCGAACTCAACTAATTACCAACTAATTAACACAAACAAAAATAAAAAAATAAAAAAAAAATTAATTAACAAAAAGTTTAAGAAAATTTTGATTTATTTTAATTGAGTTATGTGACACATGTTTGTCAAGTCTCGACTAATGATTCCTTTTAGATTTTTTTAATATTATTTTACACTTCATCAATCTATTTCCTTTTAAAAATATGTGGTATTATTATTTCCTAGATTCTGAAAAATCTAGCATATTTCTCCCATTTGTCTAGTAATATGTTCACTCATTTTTAACATTTCTTAATCCCCATTTTTTTAAGGTGTGATACAAACAATTTATCGGATTCACATTTACGAGCCCAGCTCAAAAATACCATAAATTACTCAATTTCACTAATATGAGATAACAAAAATAAACATGAAATTAAAAATCATTCACATATTTAATTTTCTTCAATATCTCAACTTACAAAATTTTAAATAATATTTTCCAATAACTCTCATCCGATCTTATAATCAGCACTCGATTCAAAATAACATATCTACTATCAATAATGAAATAGTCTTATAATCATCGCTCATGCTAAATAAAACAACTCACACCATCATTATGCTACAAACCTTAATGCAAAAATTATCCAAATGAATCAAACAATCACTGTCCTTTTCTATTTATTGTAATTCACCTTTATTTGCATGAGTGCACAAAAATACTTCATTTTCTATTTATTGTACTTCACCTTTATTTACATGAGTGCACAAACATACTTCATGTATTGTCAGACACCAATATACCCCATGGGTAAAAAAAAAAATTAAAAAATTTAATAATAATAATAATAATCCTGAAATACTTGATATAGAATAGCAATAAAATATTATGCATATTCTAATTTTGTACAATTCTAGTCCACTTCTGTTTTTGAAAAGGAATTCTCACGATTATCTAATTACTTTCACATTCTGCCATTATCAAGGGATATCATACCTATTAGTTAGATTTATTTATCAAAGTGAAACAATTTAGATCATTTTAGATCTTAATTGATGACCTTAAGGCCATTTTAGGCCTTATTTCAGATCATCAATGACTTTAATTATTTTACTTTGACAAATAAATCCAACTATTCCGCCTTAATATCATAATTCTTATCAAGACAGATTGATTATGATTCCATCTCCAGCATGCATTTACATTCTTGTAAAAGATGCCAGAGGTACTCAACAAATTAACCACATTCAAACAAGAATAGTTGAACCATTAGATCATCTTTTATTAACCTTTCCTCTCTCCAAATGAATGTTAGGGGTTTGAGTTGCATATACAGGGGCATTTGTGAGCGTGTGTGCCTAAGTATTTACCTTAAAAAAATAAATAACAAATAAAAAATCAAAAGTTGTTGGGTATTTACGTAAATGTGGCGGGGTAGAGCGAATACGGGTGCTCTCATCTTTTAACGGGGCAGATATGAATTGTGAACTTTAAACCCGACGCAGGTTATGGGGCAACTATGAATTTATTATTAAATAATTGAAGCTGAATTTTGACATTTTGTTTCAAGCTTCAAAAGTAAAAAAGCTTGCACTAAATGAAAGCAGCTATTTAAATCAGTAAATAAATAATATAGTCCTAAAGTACTGATTGGGTGATTATGTATACTATGGGAACCGTGAAAATGACTACATATATTCCATGCCCCATAAGCCAGAACTCCGTGGGAGCATGACAAAGCAAGTTGCTTGTGCTTTGCGGTCGTCGTAGTGATGATTATGTTCATGCAACACTGTGATGAGACTTAAAAAGAAGGTTTCAAATCGATGTATGTATTAATCAAATTACTCAATGAAGTAAACTTTTGGGTCCAATGTGCACGTAAATTATCTTGCACCACTCTATCAAGTTGACCCATCGACAATCAATTTTAATCTTCTATTTATTTTTACATACTACTTAATCATGTGGATATATTCAGTTGTGTTCCGGTACTTGTAAACATGGAACTCAAATTTGAATCAAAATCTTCTCCAGTACATATATTTTTTTTTTTTTTTTTTTTTGGGAAATTAAAGCAACTGTATAAAATCAAATATTGAAAGATACATGGAGGGCCTTAGGCCAAACCAGCCCAGAAAGGCAGTAAAACAAGCCCAAAGGGCACCCCAAATAGAAGATGGACCCAATACTAGACACTAGACTGCAATAACTGGAGGTTAGCCGTAGAAGGCGACCCCGAATCAATCTGGTGAGAGAAGAACAGAGGACTGGCACTATTGCCGGCAAGAATCAATCCGGAGGTCTCGGAGGGGGATGACCTGAGGAATGCGAAAGATCCCATTCGCATTGGATCCTATTTGCTGCATGAAATTTCTGCAAACAACCCAATTTTAGAATGGAGTTGATTGTGTGGCAGATGCGAACGAGAACTGATATTTGCGATGTTTTCTTCCTTTCGAAAATTCTCTCATTGCGCTCCTCCCATGTATGGTAGACAATTGAGGAGAGACAAATTTTGCGAAGCAAATTATAAGCAGATTTCTTCTTCCATTGATTGCTGATAAGTTGGATTAGGTCATCCCAATTTGTGATTGCAGCGTTGAAGTGAGCTCTTTGCTAGATGAATCTCCATAGAGTTGAGACAAAACAGCACTTGAAGAACAAATGGTCATGAGTTTCTGGCTGGGTACCACAGAGGACACAGATGTTCTCATGTTGAGCCATTGATTTGCTATCCAAAGTAGGAAGCTTGGACTGAACTGCGAGCCATAAGTTGAACTTCATGCGAGGGATCACTGGATTATCCCACACGAGATTGTGCCATAGAACACTTGGATGATGACCCATTAAATAAGCTGACGTAGATTTGAGGTTGTAAGTCCCTGAAGGTGAAGCTGTCCAAACAATTTTATCCTTCCTTGATGAATTTGGTGATGACATAGAGAGGAGTTCAGGGATTGCAGATACCATGCAGAGTGGAAAAGACCAATCTGAGTTGAAAATGAAATTGTCCACTTTGATGTCAGTGTTGAACCCTCCATCTGTGAGAATGTGAGTTGGGAATCTATTGCTTAAAGGACCTCTAGGAGCCCAATTGTCCCATCAGAAAAAGGTATCTCTTCCATTACCAATTTTGTGTTTCATTATTTGCCTTGCACTAACTCTCAGCTGAAGGATCTTCCTCCAGCTCCATGAGCATGGTTGAGGAATTTTGAGAGTCCAGAAATTCTTTGACTTGATAAGATGAGCTTTGCACCACCTAATCCAAATCCTGTTGCCGTCATCATTGTGAAGGTCCCAAATTAATCTCAGAATCCCAGCTTTGTTAGAGATCTCCAGATTAGGAATATCCAAACCACCCATTTCCTTTGGCCTGCAGGCTTTACCCCAATTTACCTTAGCTCTTGTGGTCTTCATCTCAGGTCCAGACCAAAGAAATGCCCTTATGATTTTGTTTAGCTCATTGAGGACAACCTTTGGGAGGATGAAGATGCTGGACCAATAAATTTGGGTAGAAATAAGGACAGCTTTTATGAGTTGAAGCCTTCCTGCATATGACAAAGATCTGAAAGACCAGTGTGTAATTCTGTTTGTGATTTTCTCAATCAAGATACTGCAACGAGAGGCCTTCAGTTTTGTAGAAATTAAAGGAACTCCAAGATACTTAACAGGTAAGGCACCAACACTAATACCAAGAAGATTGGTGATGCTATACATATCTTCTTGAAGATTTCGTGATATAAATTTTTACTCACTCGATTATTTCAATATTTTTTTCTAATTTTTTGGTAAAATTTTATCATTACATGCAGTATGGTGAAAATTTAATATTTTTTGGTGAAATTTTGCACCGTAATGCAAAAAAGGAGTGGATTGAAAGGATTTTAATTTCTGAAATTCAATGCAAGTAACTACCAGGTATTCGTGAAATAATTAATTTTCTTTCCGTTTTGTGTTAGGAACTCTCGATTCCTACTCAAATTAAACAATCAAATCTTAAGTTTAACTTGAGTTCAGATTGATTGTTGACTTGTTTGGTTCAATTATTCAGCTTTGAGCTCAATCTCAAGCTTATTCTTGAATTTAGTTCAAACGTACTCTGAGTTTGTAATTAAGATTAAAAATTAATTATAAATCTAACTAATCTCGTGAGTTGAATCATAAATTATTGGAGCTCAAACTCATCCAACGAGTTCAAAAAAGAGTTTGAGTTGAGTTTTAAGTTTTTAACTAAGTGAGTCTTTGAGGTTTTAATTATCTCAATTCATTTGCATGTACCACTTCTCAAATATTGAATGGCAAACTCTTTGCATTGGAATATAGTAATTTGCAAACTGCAATTACTGACAAAGACACCCCAAATTCATTTAGCTTGCCCACTTGAATGTGGATCTTTAGTGCATGTTTTCCAACTTTTGGGTGATTTTGAGTCTGCTGTGTACTCTTATGAAGAATTTTTATATATTTTCGCACTACATGTTTCTAACCAAGCTCGACATGTAAACAAAAAAAAAAACTGAATAAAACGAGAAGGTATTGGATGTGCTCGGTGCACCGAACTCATCTGAGCCGTACGTGTACACATACGTATTAATATTTGAAGTTTCGGATAGAGATACTCAATATGCCAAATTTGAATTGTTTGTAGGATTCATAAATTAAAATAATGAAAAAAAATTATTTGGCATACCACTTTTTTTATATGTCAAATTTGACAAATTTGAGGGTATGTCAAAGCCTAGTATACATTTGAAGTGTCGGTTGGAGGAGCACTTGATGTCAAAAATAATTGTTACAAATGTCTACAATTTAATATATCCTAACAAATGTTTGAAGGTTAATTAAATATATATATATATATTGGTTTGACATAAGAAACGATATATTTAGTCCACATATTTTGACACTACCATCAAATTCCGCTGTGACAGAGTCATTAGGAGAAATAAAAGGCCTAAAGATAGATGAAATTAATGAAGACAATCCTAGTGAAGCACAGCTAGAGAGAAGAAACAAAAACAACCTTAAACACTCAAATACAGCTAGCCCCCCTCACTTCAACTTCCACGCTTCTTCTAAATCTGCAACACCAACAAAAATAATATTGTCCATTTTATTTTTAATCAAAATAATCAATAATAATGCTATTAAAGGAGAGCCAAGTTGGTCATGAATTACCAGATCCTGGTGTTACCATCATGTGGTGATGGAGCTAACGTTTGCATCAGGTAGTAAAATGCGCCGTGCTGGAGCGAGTGGAGGGTGACACCCCACTGGTTGGTGAGAACAGGCTGACCGGAGTAGTGGAGGAGCACAGCGTCATCACCGAAGGCCTCTCTCACGTTGAAGGGACCCACAGACACCTCGAACGCCACATCATTAATGAAGACCGTTGATTTCGCCGGATTAAGCGGACCCACTGTGCCCGATTCTCCAGCACCTGCACATAGGATAGGATTCATAGGACCTTTCTCACTTGATAATTCATGTACATAAGACCAACGCAGTAGTCAATCAACAAGAGTTACAGAAATAGGGCACGCCCATGCACACGTCCAACCGGACACAAAATCGTAAATTACGGTCAAAATGACAACTTTGCCCTCGTTCTTTTGCCAAAGGTGCATAACCAAATTCAAGGACACCACCACCTCCTATGCAGTGAGATGAACCCACAGTCACACTACACTCTGTCATTGTATAAAGAATTATTCATATATATATATATATATATATATAAATATTTTAACATTTAAAAGTTTCTAAAAAGATAGTTGTTATTACCAAGTATAAAAACTAATACACATATATGCAAACAAATATTGTAAAGTCTTAATTAATTTCAACGTAATTGATAAGTACCTTGACTGTGATTGATGGTAGATGGAACACTGGTATGAGTAATAGTTGAAGCTGTAGTAGTTGCAGTGTATAAACTCAGCTGTTCGTGTAGCTTCATCTTCTCATCATATTCAACCTTCTTTGCAGTGTCTCCATGGCTCATCATCAATTCACTCAGTAAAAGCCCAGAGCAATTCCCAACCGTCTGATCATGATCAGGAACATGATCAACCACACTTGACAGCTCCGGGAAGCAAAAGTACCCTTCTGTGAAAACACCGCTTGTAGCTGATCCTCCGGCAGTAGAAGAAAAGAAGGGTTCCGGAAAGACCTCGGAATGGGTCTGAAAGTAGCTCTGGCTACGAGATTTGGGCACTTCCCCCACATTTGGAGACCCAATATTTAAGAAGGCCTTATGGGTGGTTTTTAGAGAAGATTTATCCGATGAGCACGACGGGACAGACATGTTGGAGGTGATGGGAGGGGTTGGTTGGGGCTGAGATTTGGTGGTTTGGAATTGGCGTTGCTTGTTTTTGCTTCTTGATTTTCTGTTCTGGAACCAGTAGAAGACGTTGGCATCGCCGACTTGGCCGAACACTTGTAATTGGGCTCTGATCTTCTTTATCTCTTCCCTTGGTGGATTCACCATGCCTGAGTTGAAGATAGCTTCGAGTATGCGTATTTGCTCTGGTTTTGGGTTCCATCTTGGCTTTGGCTCAGGACTTCTCTCTTCACATTCTCCAGGCACTGTTCAATCAAAACATACATTACTGATGACTCGATCATGTGGTTTAAAACACCGAATCCACATCTTGAATTTTATTATTTTGAACTAAATTAAAGTGGGAAAAAAAAATAATCTATTTATATATATATATAAATAGATTATATGTAGTTGAAACAAAGGAAATAACAGTGAATTCATAAGAAACATGCATGGGTGAATTATGATTGGTGAGAGGAGAGTCCAAAGACTTTTCCTTTCAGAATTGAGAGCAGATCGATAACAAAAATAGGGAGAAATTAAAGCTTAAGTGATATGAAATGATGATTGTAATTGTGACTGCAATTAAATATTGGGTGATTTTACCTGATGTGTGAGGGGTTCCGTGGCAACCACTTGACGTGAGAGAAGTAGGGTTAATGTCATGCTGCCATTGGTGTTGAGTGTTGCAGGCCTTGGACTTAAACATACTAGGCCAGTGTCTATTTGATGAAGCCATGATATAGTGATTGATGATATGTGTGTGTGTGTGTGTGTAGAAGGCCAATCACCAATATTAAAACAACACACAACCCTTAATTAATTTGGTTGATCTTGTTTTTGGGCAGTGACTTGAATCACTTCTTATAGCTAGCCAGCCTCCTCAGCAACACCTGTGTTCAATTCATTTTCAATTAATAAACAGTCCTTGCCATCTCTCAAATATAATATATAAAATTAAAAATTAAAAAAGTGAATAAAAAAGAGAAAACCCACAACAGGAATCGCCTGTGAAATGATAAACAAGAAGAGAAACCATATTAAATAAAAAGAGAAGATCAAAGAAAGGTACAGTACTAGTCCCATACTGTGCCTAACAATTTTGCATTAAAACTGAATTCTTGTGCACTGCTCAAAGTACAAGCCAATTCTACCAGAAGAGAAACAGAGAGAGCATTGAAAAGAGTACTTGCTGGGGCTTATATTAGAATCTCCATCAGAGAAGACACAGAGAGCTCTAAATGCAAGGGCTGGATTACAAGGATTGTGTGGTTGAGTTTTCTCATCAGTTTTTTTTTTTCTTTGTTTTCTCCTGTTTTTTATGGAGAAGAATTTACGTTCACATGGTTTTTGTTTTTTTATTTGTTTATTTTTTATTTTTTTTACAGAGTATTAATGGGGAGGGTTGAAGAGGATAGATATTCACAAAGTGGTGATATTATTCTAATGGGAAAGTTGTCGCAGAAATAAATAAGGGCATTTGAAAGTCAAGAAGGCGCGTAGAATTTGATTGGAAATCTGATGAGGTGCAGTAATTACCTGTTCGGGTTATTTTGAACAAAGTAAGTTTTTTTTTTTTGGAATATATATATATATATATATATATATATATATATATATATATATATATATTATACTACTTGTTTAGATTGAGTAGCTAGGGTTCTTTTTCAAATATAAGACGAAAATAACTTATAAACCGAGCCGACTCACATAATTCAAGGATCGGAATCCATCTAGCCATTTGATACTTTAACGTAGTCTCGTGTCCTTAGATTGGCGAGTCTATTTAGATAGAATAGTAATTGATATTAAATTAATCTTAATATGAGAATTTTAAAATTGGACCTTTTATTTTGAAAAGTAAAAAAGTATTACACTAGTGATGTAGGTTTCTTTATGTGTTTAGTATTTTTTAGTTTAAATTTGTTATTTATTTTATTTTTATAATTTTTTTTATAAAAAATTTAATTTTAGTTAATTTCCAAGAATTATTTTCCTAGTGTCATTAGGTATTTTTATGTTTTTAGTTTATTGCTAGGATTAGGATTCTTGGTAATCCTAAGTTTATTATTTTTATTATAAATAGGTTAAGTGCAAAATTAATTTTTATTTCATTCAATATAATATCAGATTTTCTCTAAACTTATTTTTTATTTTGTATTCAAAGTAATTCGTAAATAAATTTATCAATTCCTTTTACGTCAACTAGACTATCCAAAAACACAAAAATACTATTAGCGGATCATAAACTTTTCTTAGTACATACCCTTATACCGTAATTATGTATTGCAATTTGCAAGTTAGATGATGGTAGTGAAAGTCTTGCAATGGATTTTTTTTTTTTTCTTTCTCCAATGGGTAATTAGATGATTAAGTAATTAATGGCCATGTGTGATGATAATGGTTAAGAGGATGATGTAATATATATATATATATATGATGGAGTTAGTGAAGCCATGCCAAGTTGCCATTTCATACTTAATAGATTACTTAAATTTATTTTGCTCCTGTAAAAGTTTCAGACGCAAAATAAATGAAGGCGACAATATCCATAATAAATAATTGGCATACAAACAAATTAATATTAAATGACAAACAAAATATATAAATAGATTGCACATCTAATCTATGTGGTAGTTGTGTGTTGATGGCAACCTTGAATGAAAGGCGGAATAAATTTGCTTTCATCAACTCAAATTTCACAACTACAAGACTGCTCACATTCAGTAAGTTGAGAGTTAGAATTTTCTTAAATTTTTTTCAATATATTTAAGATAAAATAACTGTATCTAATTGATAGAGTGTCCAGTTTTTCAAATATGCATGTACAAATGACTGATTTACAAACAGGGCAAATTTCCTCCCCCTATTAAAAAAATATATATTTTACTTTTGCCACCCATCACTTAAAACCTGAATGTGCCCCATGATAATATATACCCATATTATAAATTGTTGTATTCTTGCATTGTCCTAATTATTATTAAAAAAATTAATTGTATTCCTATCCACATCAATATTTTAAAATCTACACTAGTGTGTTTTAGTTTTGCAGAAAAATTAATTGTACGTATTCCTATCCACATCCATATTTTATAATAGACACTAGTGTTCTAGTTTTGCAAAAAAATTAATTGTTTTCCTATCCACATCCATATTTTATAATCTACACTAGTGATGGACAGAAAGGAAGGTATGGAGAAGTCCCCGTCAAAAGTCTGAGAAGTGATGTAGACCCATGAAAACTACAGGATATGCATGTAGACAAGTAGAGTAATACGTATAGTAGATTTGGCTTTAAAACTTAACTCATCACTCCAACTCCAAGACCAAACATGTAGATATATAGGAATGCTTGTTAATTATATATATATATATATATAGTGAAACAATCCTACTCACAATACTGCCACTCCTCTCAACCTTTTTCTGTACATGGGGGATCCTCTGCAACACCGTACATGCACTTCAACATTTATTGATCCTTTCCCCTATCTTTTATGTCAAACTTTTCCTTTCTCTTGCTTTCCATCCCTTTCTGTTCCCACCATTTTGTCTGTAACAAAAATGCCAAACTCAATATTAATTCCACTCACGTTCTGAGTTTCCTCTCACTCTAATCTTTGTTTCTCCTCCTTTTATTATCTTAAGATTTTAAAGAAGGAAGACGGGAGGGGGACTACAAGTCGCTGGGTGCATGGTAAATTTTCCTTTTCCATTTTATTTTCGCAAAATAAATAAATAACAAACAATGTTTTGATGCAGAGGACTGCTACATTTGACCATCACTTACCTATGTTTTTGCATTTCAATCACTAGTGTCCAAACAAGCACTCTTAATTAGTAAATAAAATATTATTTTATTATTTTTCAATTATACTTGAATAGTAAATAACATAGTCAATTTGTTTTAAAAAACTACCGAACGTATTTTTTCTTTTCTCTTCTAAAAAATTCAACAACAAATATACATTCCAAAAGTTTTTTGATTTTGACAGGAATGATAACACAGCTTTTCAAAACTTGCCATTTTCATAGAAATAACAATAGAGTAAAAAATGAAAGTCACAACTTCACTAAACAGGCCCTTAGTCTCTAATTTTGGTAGACCATTTAATTAGGAATTGCGTTTCATCGTTGATGTGTTTTTTTTCTCCCTTTATATAAAATTTTTCTTTTTCAACCCCAAGAGGTTTGCTCACTCGTAAGGTTACTTGGTCCTGATATCTCATGAGTCATGAAACATTAGATCTGAGGCTAGTCTCCCACTAAGTGCAACTATTTCCTTGGAGCTATGTCTCCACTGTCATATTCTACAACTCACCCAGCCTGAAGTGGAGAGACGTTCTTCCTATATCCTTAGAAATTAGTCGAGCGAAGTCCCAAATAGCCCAGGTTACTCTAAAAAAATTCCTCCTTCCCAAAACAATTTTATTTGGACTAATTACTCAGTCAATTATCAGTCTATTTCGAGTGATTCTCCCCATTACAGTTAAAACACAATTGAAAGAAGCCATGACCTATTATTGGAATTTAATTAGTAATTTTTTTTTATGTTCACAAATTGTACTATCTGTACCATAAATTTTGTGAATCATACAAATCAAAATTGTCATTTCTTTTTACATATTTTTCACACTCACAATTTTTAAAACACATTCATAGTGTATAAATCTGACACTTCTCACTAAATTATGCTAATTCAGTAAATTTCAAAAATGTATATGAACGATCTTTAGACCCTCAAAAGCACTTTTATTTTTTATTTTTGAGAAGTAGAAGTAGAAATAGCTCAAACCCTCTTATTTTCAATCCGAGCATTCAAATCTCTAGACATCTAAATAATAATAATAGGATTGTCAAAGACAAGAACAAACATACCTTGTGATATATTTTATAATTAATTAATAAGCTACATATTTCCAAAGATTATGCAGGCAGTATTCAACTAATTTGTCAAGTTCACAATTTTGCTACTGAATATATTAATTATTTATTAATTCAAGTGTTGAAGTTGCACATGATTACAATGAATATGTCTCTGTTTTTGTAATGGCATTGGTGAAATGGGTATGTAGTAAATACACAACATGCTATCTTAAATGTACAACTTTGCTGCACATGGGACCAGAGTTTTTAATGGTAAATTTGTTCTTATATTGAAGACCAAAACGTACCATATTACTTTGGCACAGAAAATTTAGAGAGAAATTTATTCAACCACCAACCGAATTTAAAAATTATAAATAAATAAGGGCGAGATGCACTAATATTTAGATTAGTATTTGATTTAGATATTATTGGATTTAATTTGGATAATTTCTTAAAAAAAATTATATTTTTTATATTATAGGACATTTATTATTTTATTTTTACGTCACATCAATAATAAACATGAATTTACTATGCACCGGTAAATAAATAAATATTGTTTAATATCACAACATCAAGTAAAGTTACCTCTAAAATTTACAGAGCTTATAAATCTTAGTTTGTATCATGGTTCGCTGTATAGGCCAGTTTTCTAAAGGTTCAATTCCGATATACACTTCTATAAATCGACTAATTTGATTAATTTACATCAATATTCATCCCATAACTACGAACTATAATTTGTATAGCGAAACTCCTTTTCATTTCTTATTACTTTATCAATTGGTTCCCTGTTCACCAATACATATTTTGCGGTGTGTTCAGTTAAAAAAATATGGATTCAATGTCTATGTCAGTCTCTGG